AGACCAAAAATCAAATTACAACAAAGATATTTGTATCAGAATGTTTATTGCAGCCCAATTCATAATTGCTAGGTCATGGAAGAAGCCCAAATGTCCATTGACCCACGAATGGATCAATAAATTGTGGTACATGGAATACTATGCAGCCCTAAAGAAGGATGGAGACTTTACCTCCTTCTTGTTTATATGGATGGAAATGGATGTTCTTCTTAGCAAAGTATCACAGGAATGGAAGAAAAAGTATCCAATGTACACAGCTCTACTTTGAAACTAATTCATAGTTTTTATAGGAATGTCATAACCTAATTATAGCTTTGCAATATGGGAAGGGGGTGGGAGGAGGAGGTGATGGAGGTGGATAGGGGGAGGGAGGGTGATTGGTGGGGTCAACTCTATGGTTTATCTTACAGGGGTACAAGTGAATCTTTCTAAAAGCAGAGTATGAACATTTTAACTCAATAACTAAAAAAGTGACATGCAGGTTATGTTAACCAGTTTGATGAGAGTATTTCAAAATGTATATGAAAACAGCACACTGTACCCCATGATTGCATTAATGTACACAGTTATGCTATAAGAAATAAAAAATAAAAATCCCCAGGCCTTAACCATAGAAAATCCAGATTTAATTGGACTCGTTTGGAACCCTGGCATTGTTTTTTCATCTGTTTTTAAAGTAGACTAGACAATTCTAATGTGCAGCCAGAGCTCAGAACCACTGTGATAATGTTATCCACTTAATAACAGAGATAAAATCACTGGAATTTTGCCCTCTTCCCAGTTTCAGTTAAGCCCCTGCCAAGAAGTTTTATGACAGCATAGTCTTCCAGGAGTTTTTTGAAATTGTCTTCCTTCCCCAGGATGCTCTCATCGGGTCTGACTCCCCTTCCCGCTAAGCGATTCTCCACATTAGCGGCACTCACTAGCATTTCTGGTTCTCCTCTCTCCTTGCACACACACGAGAGGATGAAAATTTTCAACTCACTAGATGTCAGGTGTGGCCGTTTGATTTGCCTTGTCCTATGAAATATAAGCAAAAAATCATACCTGTGGGTTCTAGACAGACGCATGTAAGGGCTGATGTGTGGTTCTCCATCCTCTTTTCTCTGCCACCACAAACCTAAAGCCTCATGCTGAGATGGGGGCCTCAAAAAATGGTGGCGTCATCTCTGAGCTCCATCCCTGAGACTGCGGTGAGCAGAGCCCTCCTGCCAACATGTATTGGACTCGTAGAGGACTGCAAAATAGACTTTTGTTTCCTTAAGCCACTGAGATGTAGCATTATTTGTAGGCTAACCTCTACCTTTCCCTGTTTCCTCTAAAAAAATAGCTCTTGTGCCCTCCCCCTCTACATTTCAACTCTGGGTCTACAGCAATGATCTCCAGTGTTAGCTGCACATCAGAATCACTCTCAGAGCTTTAAAAACATCTGGATGCCCAAGCTCCACCTCACACTAATCAAATCAGAATTTCTCTGAATGGAAGCTGGCATTTGGGATGTTTTTAAAACACCTGGGAGCAATTTTTCTGTGCTCCCGCCAGGGTTAAGGACAGCTGTCAGGATAATGGAGCCGCAAGGGTGTTGCATTAGCCACCGGAAGGTGGTAAGCTTCTTGTCACAAGGACTTGCTGACTTGCTATAGCACAACATATTTTCTGCTTTTAACAGCTATTCCTGTTTGCACGGACTTTGAAGTGACTCAGTTTCCTCTCCGAATGAGAGACTGGCTCAAGAATATTCTCATGCAGCTTTATGAAGCTACCTCTGAACACACTGGATATCTAAATGAGAAGCAGAGAAGTAAAGTAAGTTATCCACAGGTTAGCTTCTTAGGTGTCTGTCTAGAGCAGGGGTCCTCAAACTTTTTAAACAGGGGGCCAGTTCACTGTCCCTCAGACTGTTGGAGGGCCGGACTATGGGACCCGGGAAGAGTCGGATGCTAAGCAGGACAGGTAGCGGCGGCAAAAACACCCAGTAGGCCAGATAAATGTCCTCGGCGGGCTGCATGTGGCCTGCAGGCCGTAGTTTGAGGACACCTGGTCTATAGGGCCTGAGGACACAAGGCACTGGGCAGGGAACTTCCAGCCTCTACATATGGACAGAAACCCACTCTGCTTTCCTGCACCTGGTTAGCCCACCTGTTTAACAGAATAGTGTTGGTCACTCTTCATGCCACAGGGTTTCAGATGCCACCAAACTACCCCATTCCTATCCAAAGGGCAGTGGTCTGAATAAAGCAAGCTAAGTTGAGTGAAGTTAACATAAATTCAGCACTTATACAGTCAGGTCCCAACATACTATTTAAATTTATACATTTTTATTTGTCTTTCGAGACCAGACACAGATGGATGATAAAAAGAAATTCATTACTCACACTATCAGTAATATATGAAGATTCAAAAGTACAGAATATTGATTCCAGAAGTTTCCAGAGGAAATTTATACATCAGATAATAACTCAGTTCATCCTGGGTGCCAGGAATCAATCTAAGAACTGGAGATACAGCAATGAACCAAACAAAATCTCTGCCTTAATGAGTTTACATTCTAGGTGATACAAATAACTATGTGTGTGTGCTAGTGTATGTTTGTATGTATACACACACATATGCAAATATATATGCATACATGAGATTATATAAATATATTCAAATAAGCCTTTATGCAAATAATCAAATCAGCAAATATACATTTAAGATATGGCAGGTGGAATGAAACATGCTATGAAGAAAAATAAGACAGGAAGACAGTACACATTCACTGAGTCTAACACTGCTTATAGGTTGTAAGTTGAGGAATGAGAAATGGAGAATTGCCACTGACCTTGATGGGAACTATTTCAAGAGGGAGGAGAGAGGGTTGACTCTTCAAGTTAAGTTTAGTAAGTGACAATTCCGTTACGCTTGTCTGATTGTCTGATAATCTTCTACCATCCTAATTCCAGGTCAAGAAAATTTATCTTGATGAAAAGAGACTCTTGGCTGGGGACCATCCCATTGACCTTCTCTTAAGGGACTTTAAGAAAAACTACCACATGTATGTGTATCCTGTGCATTGGCAGTTTAGTGAACTTGACCAGCACCCTATGGATAGGTAAATACCTTCCCATTAGTGGATTGTCTGTCTGACATAATCTAAGCAAAAGGAAGATTTAAACAGATTTAGGAAATTTCCCAGTTCCACTATAGACTACTAAAATGCCATACAAACATGGTTGGGTGTCCAAACACAAAGCTGCTTTTAAAACAGCAGCTCCCAGTTTCCCACAGAGACCCCTTCAACTCTCATTCTTGAGCCTAAATTCTCAAGATAATCTGATTGGCCCAAGTGGAGTCAGGTGCCTACTATCTGGCAGGATCAGGCACGGCCAATGGTTAAGAACCAGTCTGCACAAATATAGTGGCTGGGGGTACCCCTGTAGATTTAGAGTGGAGGAGGGACAAGTTCCCAGTGAAGAGAGAAATTGACATCCCAAAAGCTATCAACCTTAGCCACAAATAGTTTATTTCATTTGCAGCTTTTCATCAGTGTACCATTTATTTGGCATACACAGCAACCTCGTGGAAATAAAAAATGTCCTCAGGAGCCTAAATCTCACACACAAGCTGCCCAGTTAACAGGCTGCCATTCATTTCATTGCAGGGTCCTGACACATTCTGAGCT